AACATGCAGCAATGACCAGGAAGTCCACAAATATATTCCTGGATTTCAAGTGCACTCAGCTTTTGCCTGCAATCTGTACTGCTTGGTTTTTGACCTTTCTTCAGTCTGAGACGAAGAATTTGCTTTTCATTCTTTGATCTTTTGTTGGAAGAGAGTGCAACTCATAGAATCAGAGCGCTATTTTCTTTTCTGAACTGTCAGCTTCTGCAACCCTTGCAGGAACGATCGCCTGCGAGAGATGAGGCACCATACGGCCATTATCAGCCATTGAATTCCCTCTTTTCAACGGCAACTTTACGTTTATTTGTTGCTTCGATTTTACTTCGCTTCGATTTAAAGGCTCCTGCATGTTGCAGATCGACATGTCATGTTGCATGTGACATGTTTGCTCTGGACAGGTCATCCAACGTCCAGCAGTTTTGTTTCTTCAAACAGAAAGTGAAGGAAACAGAAAGAAACTGAAAAGAAAGAACCTGAAAAGAAAGACGGAATAATTGGCTTTCAGAAAGACAGGACTCATCAGAGGTAAGTCTTTTTTGTCTTCCAGGCTCAGACTGGAGAGGAGAAGAACATTTAGTCCCCCAGAACAATCCTGTCTTTTCGTTCTCATTCGCGCTGTCTGTCCGTCGTGACAGGCTGATGCCTTGACCTTGGCACGACGTCAGCTGGAACTTGCTTTGGACCAGCAAGCAACTGCACAAGTGCAAGTGGACATGGCAGTGGAAGACTTGCAAACTGCCAGGCAAACAGGAGATGAGCGGAAAATCAGGGAGGCGGAGGAGAAGGTGCAGAAGGCGGAGGAGAAGGTGCAGAAGGCGGAGGAGAAGCGAAGGAGGAAGTGAAAGAGGCGAAGGAGGAGGTGCAGAAGGCGAAGGAGGAAGTCCAAAAAGTCCAAGAGAAGGCCATCTGCTGCACAGCTTCAGTCTGGTCACAGTTCTTCCAAAAGATGCAAAAATAAATGAAAGATGCTTCACATTCGAATGGCATTCAAAAAGGTTCAAACAGTTCTGTCTCTTTGGTCCTCTGTTCCATACTCTGTAGTGCCCCTCCAGTGGATATATGAAATTACCAGCAAGGCAATCAAGAATATCCGACAACATGGTAAATATGATTGAAACAACCAAACAGATGCATATGCAAATGTGACTTCTGAAAGCAGACCAGAAACAAATGACCACCCCTATTTTGCAAAGAATATCAAACAATTTAGCTAATGTTGAGATTTGCAGTGTCTCAAGATGATTTGCTACTGCCCACCATATTTCCTGGGATATGCTGGGTCTCCACCGTTCTTCTCGGAACCCTTGAAGTTCATGTGAGGTTTTGCCGCTCAAGAGCGAACTGCTTGCGGGTCTGAAGTTTGAGGATCCCATAGCCTTACTGCAAACTCCAGGTGCTGACTGGGACTATTGTGGTGCTCAAGAGTTGGTGGAGGAGCTGACGCCGATAATTAAACAGACAGTGGAGAACCCTTCCGACAAACAAGAGCGCCCAATTCTTTTGGTTTTGAGTTCTCCTGGCCAAGGAAAATCACGCTTTCTGCAGGAACTGCCTATGCTGATCAACAAAACAGAGCAAGTTGATCCAGCTGATCGACAACTGTTTCCGTTCCTGCTCACCTTGGAGAATGGCATGAGCTTTGATGGACAGTTCGACACTGACCCTGACAAAATCGTAGTTGCCCGCATGCTGTGGCAGCTACTTCGGAACCGACGGGCATCTGGATGGGCCGGCCTGAAACCAAACTTCACATTCAGTCAGCTGCACCGAGCGGTGGCGGAGACTGCCAATCTCATCGTAGATGACATTTTGGATGCCATGTGTGAGGGCGAGCAGCTGAGCGCTGCGAATTATAGCATTTTGGTGGCGCTTGATGGGATGCAATTTCTGCCTGGCTTTGATAGCCCCACTGACAAGACTTCTTTGTTTTATAAGACCATTCGCAAGCTGTGTCAGTTGACAACTCGTGATGATGGTCCGTTGACGATTGCCGCGATGGCCGCCACAGTGCAACTCGGTGTCGAATTTGCCCTTGCGGACAGTCCACAAAAGCGACACTATGTCATGCTCCCGTTGGTGGACAAGGTTTGCCGAAATGGGAAAGCAGTATTTAACTTCACTGGCAATGAGGTTCTGCAGCTTCTGCAAAGTGATATGGGAGGGCACGGGCGAGCACTGGAGGCTTTGGAAGATGCCTGTAACGACCAAACTCTTGAGAACATTGACTTGCTCAAGGACGCAGTGATTAGAAATTTAATGGACAGATATCCAAAGGCTGTCCCAGCAGATTTTGAACCCATCCTCAAAGCCGCTTTGTCTGGTCAGTGGTTGAAGCCGGAAGCTAAAATTGGTAACTTTGATCCAGAAAAGCTGCAGTTAGTGAGGCTTGAATACAACTCAGATAGATCGCAACGACGAATACGCTTACCCTACATTTGGATCCTTCTTGGAGTGACAAGAAAGGATGCATTGCCAGATCTTGCAAAGTGGAGTCTTGATGGCTACAATGAAATATGTAGGGGTCCAGATGCAGGTGGCCTTGCGTTTGAGGACTTTTGCGCACGCTTTCGGGTGTTGAAATCGTTGTGCTGGCCTCCTGACGCGACTGTGAGACTGAGCGATTTGCATCATGGAGCCATTCTTCAGCCAAAGGCCTTGCGCAATGTGAAGGTTGTCAACAGGCATTTGAAAAATGCCCAAGCAAAACAGAGGATGGCGACGAATTGCCGGGACTTCCTCTTTGGGAAACCACGCAGGGAACAACCAGCACAAAAACGAAGGGTGCAAGCAACACTTGCTGATGGTAAAATGGTTGACCTGCAGGACACAAACGACCAATGCTCTTACGTTTTTCTGAATGCAGGAGGTGCACCTGCAGCTGATTTTGCCGTGCTCTTGCAATTGGATGGGCAGCAAGGCTTCCTAACCGAGTGTGGGCAATGCAAACAAGGGACTGCAAAGGTAGATCTACAAAACATTCAAGATGAAAGAGCGAAAAGTTGTGATGAAAATGATTTCCTACTTATCATATGTACAGATGGCAAGCAGATAGATCAATCAGACTTGCCCCATATGACGGGAATTGTACAGCAGGAGCAGTGGCAGCAGTACTTTGGCCCATATGCTGGGCGAGCCTTCCAAGCCTTCCGCAGTTCACAGCGCCAATGAGAAAGTGAGTTTCTGTGCCTTTGCAACTGCTTGAAGTTTGCTATGCCTTTGCTTTTTGCCTTACGTGTGCTATGCCTATGCTTTGTTGAAGTTGTAGACCAAACCTGAAAAGGGTAACCAACATGATGTAGTCGTAGACGTGTGTGAGGTCGTGGTAGTGTGTGGAGATATGTAGACACTGGCTCGAGTCGGGCTTTGAGACAAAAAGTGCATGAACGAAAAGTACACAAAGTGGAATCCAAGTCAATGGTCAAGATCAAGTCAATGTATGGTCCCATGTCATGCAAGCAACGTCGAAGGTGATGTGAATGAAAGGCAAACTCGGCTGCTGGGAAACACAGTAGTAGAACAGCTTTGGCAACAGCTGAACTCCTTTAGCAGCAGCTACAGCAGGTACACGCAGGTGATCAGACTCCGCTTCCCCTGTGGAATAGCTTCGTTGGCACAGGTATCCACAATGGGCCTGTGCCCCCTGCTGTCACATTGTAATTGTCGTCCTGTTGCAAAACCTGTGTTAGAAGGTATCACACGCACACACACACACAAGCCCTTTGCACCTATCCTGGTGCCTCAAGTGCAGGTGAGGTGGATCTGCTGCGCAGCCATTCCTCTCGCAATTGTGTTTGTTGGGGGCGTTGCCATTTGCACTACTGCTATTGTGGTTTTTATTCTACAATTGTGGAAGTGAGGTGGGCTCTCCATCCACGCACAACCTGGACCAGTGCTGATTCCTATCGGCGGGGTGAGCTCCCATTTACACTGCCTGGCTCCAATACTCTAATTCTGGCACCCTTTTTGGCTCTTTTCAATTTTGGGGAACAGCTACACTACGAGATTGACAGATTCCGCTCTGCTGGCCAAACCGCCCTTGGCGATTCTGCACTCTAGTGATTGGAGCGACCTGCCTTGAGTTGTGCTCTATAACAGCCTTGGTGCACCTGGTCCCAATTCCAGGACGAGAGGATGTTTAAAATCACTGCCGCATTTTGCCTTGTGTGGGCAACTCTTTCTTTGATCATTCTTGCCTCTCGTGAGGGTGAGGGTTGGGATCTGACCATGCAGATCCCTGAAACAGTGGCAATTTTGACAACATTCGATTCCTTTCCGAGTGCTGTGAATCAACATGGGGAGACGCCATCATTTGGCTGCGGACACTGGCAACGGTCAGATCAGGTTCGAAAGCGCAGTCTACTGAGAGCACTTCGACGAGCCTATGTACATGGACACACTTGGTACAGAGGACAACAATATACATTTGCGACACTTCAACGAGCTCATCCATATCTACATTACAAACCGACACAGTCAAACCCATTGCGAAACTACAACATTCATCAAAAACACATACCGACACATCGACTTCGATACATGATGTGGAATGGAGGTGGGCTATCCCAACATTGTTTGGAAGAGGTCACTACTTGGCTTCGTGCGGATGGGATTCAGGTTGCCTTGCTCTCTGAAACTCGATGGCGTTTTGAAAATAGCTGGCAATCTGCGCACTGGCACCACATTCATTCAGGAGCTGAACAAGATCGTGGAGCAGGTCTGCCTTTTCTCATTTGTCGGAATTTTTGCAACCCTGATGCCATCCGTTGGCATCCGATCATTCCAGGCGGATGTTCAGATTAGAACTAGGCATCGACCTATTGATTTCATATGTGTATATCAACACACGATGAATTCGTCCCATGATCGACTTCGACACAGACAAGATCTTTGGAATCAACTCGATGCCTATCTCGCTCAACTTAGTCGACGGAATGTGTTGATGGTTATGGGTGACTTTAATTGTGGCGTCAGATTGCGCGACTGATAGGATTCCTCCTCAGATGACCGCGCCTTTACGACATGAGCTTGTGCGGCAAGTGGACAAATCTTTCATGAAGTTTCCTTGGGAGAAAGGAAGACTGGCTAAGGTGTTGGGAAAAGATGCAACCATTGGCACATCTGTGACAGGCGTACAACTGGCTGATCGAAATCCCATCAAGCTTGACTTTGTGAGAAGTGATGATCAACGTACAAGCGTAGCAATGAGCGAAAGGTATGAAGCACCATCCTCCTGCCTATTCACCATGTTTGTGAGAGACCAGCAATCCAGAGCAGTTAATGTTGACAGAGAGTCGCGCAGAGATGCAGCAGTTGACAAGTGGGTTGGAATCTTGAAAGATGACTATGAGCACAGCCTTCCTGGTCGTCAAGCCCTCAATGAATCTCTACCCAGCAAGAGAGAGACTTACCTGAAGAGTGTTGTCAATGCCACCTTCTTGTTGAAGAGTCCAGGGACACTGTTGAAGAGGTATTACGCAATCCGAGCATTCGTCTTCTGGATGCACGACAGACATTCGAGGCCTTGGCTACCGATGCTGGAGATTGATGCTTGGTCCTATGTGCGTTCGTTGGCAAAGGATGGAGCAGCGGCTACGAAAGGGAACAGCTTCCTAGAGGCGGCTAGATTCTGCCACTTCGTGTTGGGGATCACAGGTGCTGACAATGTGGTTGCAAGCTTGCGAGTGAAAGGTCTTTCGGCGCAATTGTGGGTGACGAAGAGGCCTTGGCAACCAGCATCAGTGTTGACTGTGGATGAGGTGTTGAAACTTCATAGTTATCTGATGGATGAGACCAACAACGCAGTGGACAGGCTTTTTGTTGGTCATTTGTTGCTGCTGCTCTACTCTCGTTCTAGGTGGAGCGACCTTGCCAATGTCACGGAGTGCTACTTGGACGAGGAGCAAGCCTATGTCGAGATCAGGACAAAGGTGCACACCGACTTGAAAAGTCGACTGCTGCCAATTGTGGCACCAGCCAAGGGCATCGATGGAAGTTCTTGGGCGGTGACATACATGGGACTTCGTGATACCTGTGGGCTCGGGCCAGTCAATGACTCAGGAGGACCAGTACTGCCAGCGCCATTGGGCGACGACGAGTGCATTGCTTGGACAAACCGTGCTTTGTCACCAGAAGAAGGTTCCAGATTCCTTCGACACATCCTTGAATTTCAGCGTACACCGAGCAGGAGGGTGTCTCCAACCCGGTCTCCCTCTATAGCCGAGACCTCATTTCCCCAGTCCTGAGGGAATTCGAGCTTGTGCTTTCCCAAATCAGATCGAAGATGTTTGCTCCGGACAGAAGCCGATCAGGCATGCTGACGCCGATTCCTCAGACGGCGCCTGCACCGGTCACACCTGGGATTCCTTTGATGTCAACACAGCAGACGAGCCAGCAGTCCTTGAACAAGCAGAGTGATGTCACTGCAGAGACGAGGAGTGATGGGCCTTCGACTGAGCAAGTGGAAGTCGATGTCGACGATGCGAGCTGGACCCAAGTGGAAATGCCAGTACCCAAAATCCTGTCTGAAGAGGCCATTGCAGAGATGAGCGGTAGCCTTGTGAAAGATTGGACAGAGCTGGAGCATGAGCTGACGAGTGAAGATTCATCCTCCACGGATGGTGAAGAGGTTCAGGCGGGAAATGACCTCGTCAAACAGTTTGCGCCGAAGTTTGAGTGTGACTTCGTGAACATCAAATCCTTGGTCATTCACTGCATCCGCGAACGAGATGTCTTCAGGTGTGGACGTAAGCTATGCAGCTCTTACGTGCCGTGCTATGAACCTGGAGGTTATAAATGCAGCAAGTGCTTCCGTGTGTAGCGGAACATTGACATTCGTTGATGCGAATGGGGAAAAACAAAGCGTGAGCTTTGGATGACAAACTGAGGTATGTTCCTCAGACGTCTCTGGTGAGACAAAATAGTGTTTTTGTTTGGGATGCCCCCCAACTTGCCAAGGGAGTGGTTGTCACTTCTCTGAACATGTTTGGGTACATGTCGACGCTCATGTTTGCCAAACTTGCAGATTTGGCTCTTCAAATTTTTGTTGATGTGTCATTCACATTTCACTTGAGTGTTTCTTCTTTCACACGACAAGTCTTGTTTTCCCTCTGTGTATTCAAGTTTGCTTGAGCTTTGCACGGTGCACTCAACTTTGATGACACATTTTTGAAAAACTTTACTTAAACATTTGCGACCTCGGGTGTGATGGCGAATACTGCTGACAGTGAAGCACACTTCGAGGAGCGAGCAGTGAGCTATGGAGTGCCAAGGAACATTTTGCGGAACTTCAAAGATGCAGGGATCAGAACCTTGGCACACATGGCTTTCGGCATGGGCAGACCGGGCCAGGACTTTGATGAGACCGCTTTCTCAACGTGGATTAGACAAGTGATTGGACAGGACCCCTCGCTTGGCACCGCTGCAGCATTGAGACGTCTACACTTTGAAGCAGAAGTTGTTGTGACTGCAATAGTGCGTGCTACGGTGGAACATCCTACGAGCGAACAATCTGTGCCAAAACCAACCCTTTATGCAGAGCGTCAGGTGCGTATGGTACAGATCAGACAGCAGCTGGGTGGTGTGATCCTGGAGGGCCACAATGAACCGGCGTATTCGCTGGTCGATGAATGCTGCTTTCAATACGAAACGAGGTGCCTTCGATACGTTGAGCCAGCAAAGTGTGCATCTAGAGAGGCAGAGGTGACATCTGGGAAGCTGAACAAGAAGTTGCACTTAGATGGTTCGAGTTTGACAGTGAAAGAGTCAAAGAACATCCCAGACGAGTCAGTGAACAATGCTTACCAATTGATGTTGTGCTTTCGACGCAGAGCGGTAGCCTATGAGTTCTCAGGACTGATTTCGTATCGTAGCCATGAACGATACACGGACTCCTTGATGAGGCATTTGCAACAGGACCCTCCGCCGAACTTTCATTCGACGAGCATTACTCAGGTCCTTCGAGCAGACAAAGAGGTGTTCTCTTACCTGAGCAAACACTGTGACAACATCAGGCCAGATGCAGCAGGTGTGAAGCCTCTGGACAACATGCTTATGGAAGCGCTTCGAGATTATCATGTTGCGTTTCATCTCATGCCCTTGCCTCAGAGCGCCTCTGCACAGCAACGACGGGAGCCATCAGATACGAAGACCTCTCCATCTGCGCCATATCCAGCAAGGCCGCAGAAAGGAAAAGGCAAGGGCAAACAGAAAAACGGACCTGGACTTACGATGGCACCCAGAGGTTTTCCTGGATGCGTGGGCAAAGACAACAAAGGAAGGTCACTTTGCTTCGACTTCAACATCAAAGGATGCAAGCATGCTGCGGCTGGCGGCGTTTGCAAAAACGGAAGACACAATTGCTTTCTGGCAAATTGTTTCCAGCCTCATGCCTGGAGAGATGCCCACGGACCGGACAAGTCAGCCGTTACAACTGAGTGACAGTCAGAAACACCTCGGGATGGCCATTTGCGTGTTTCTCAGATTGTCGTTCTCGAGGTGTTTTGCGGTACAGCAGGAGTTTCGGCCTCATTCAAACGAAGAGGCGTGGTGAGCTGTTTGGCAATCGATAAAGTCTTGCACAAACACCCGCTGGCTAGTGTTATTCAGATGGATTGCACGTTGATTGGGAACCAGCAGCTTGTTCTGTCCTGGATACAACAGCGCAAAGTTCACCTTGTTGTGTTGGAGCCACCTTGTGGGACGGCGAGTCAAGCCCGCGCGATTCCTCTGCCAGGAGTGGAAAAACCACCCCAACCTTTGAGATCTTTTCTTCAACCAGATGGTTTGGATGGACTCTCTGAATTAGATAGACTACGTGTCGGAGCTGCCAACGTATTGTATGCGTTCACAGCAGCTTGTGTGGAAACCAGTTGCATGGTCGCTATTTTGGCGATGGTGGAGAACCCAGCAAACAGTTTCTTTTGGTTGACAACGCCGTGGATGGACATGACTTGCCACGACGAGCTCTTCGTCCAAGATCACAGAGCATGTGCCTATGGAAGCGACCGCCCCAAGCTAACCAGACTGTGTGCAAACTTCAAGGAGGTGTTCCAGTGTCCTGGAGACCACGAACATGCAGCTTGGGGTGTGCAACGTGTGGGCAACAAACGAGTTCACGCAACTTCACTGGAAGTCCACTACCCACGAGGGCTATGTGATGCGATCTCCAACGCATTCTTGATGGCCTTGCAACGTACCAATGTTATCTCCATGGACGCTCTGACTTCAACTGCTCTCACTCAAGCATTCTCAGGTGTTCAACCAGCGGGCAATAAGCTGCCACCTTTAGTGCCCGAGTTCAAACACAAGATTGTCGTCGCCTACGACCAGGACCAGAACATCTTGTGGCCCTGCATTGCGCCATCGGTGGACAACTGCAAATTGCTGCATACCGAACAACTGGGGAATAAGAGTGACAGCAATTCGGATGTGGACACGTTACAATTGATCTTGCAGGTATGTCATTCTTTTGGTGCAGACCCGGATTTCAGTGAGTGCCGGTGTATTGACAAGTTCTCCTGCGTGAAAATATTTGGTAGCTTCTGGGAACCGGAAGAATTCATTCAACAAGTGATTCTGGCAGGCCACCCATTCGCAGACAGACACGTGGTACCTGGAATCTTGATTGAAGCAATGGACAGACACATGAATTCTTCGGACTTGGACATCGCCAGATCGAGACTACACTTTGTGAAGAAGTGGTCACAACGTGCCAAGGAGCTCAGCGATGAGGAGGAGAAGTTGAAAGCAGGCCTGGACCCACAAGTTGTGCGAGTGATCGAGAAAAAGCGCATTCTTCTGTACAAGGAGATGTTGGTCGAAGCCGAGTATCCGGATTTGAATGTGGTGAACGAGCTAGTCGAAGGTGCAGAGCTGGTGGGCCCGGTAGAAAGAACCAACATGATGCCTGATAAGTCTATTCCTGCATTGCTATCTACAAATGAGCTGGGTACGAGGGCCATGATGGTGAGGCCTGGGATCGAGTCCACAGTTACGTCTTCAGGTGATGCTGAGATTGATGCTTCGGTATGGGCCCAGACGCTTGAAGAGGTCAATAACCATTGGTTGAAGGGGCCCATTGCTACAGACTGTGTCCCTACAGACGCCCCTATTGCAAGACGCTTCGGCCTGAAGCAGCGACGCAAAATAAGGCTCATTGACGACTTCACTGGCAACGGAGTAAATCAAGCGGTGGAGACTTGTGAGGCCCCATCGTTACACACCATTGATGTTGCAGCCGCGATGATCAGTGTATGGTTCAACAAGTGCTATGCGACTGCACGCGATCCCACTCTGCAAGGGAAGACCTTTGATCTCAACAGCGCGTACAAACAAGTTCCCCTGAGTGCTGCAGGACGAGAACAGGCCCACATATGCGTTTTCGATCCTACTGACAAGAAGCCCAAGCTATTGCAATGCCAAGTTCTGCCATTCGGTGGAGTTCGCAGTGTTCATGGTTTCCTACGCCTTGCAAGGGGTTTGTGGTGGATTGGCGTGGTTCTTGGAAACTTGTTGTGGACGAGTTTCTATGATGATTTCATCCTGGTGTCAAGCCCCTCGCTCAAGCAGACCTCAGAGGCTACTGCCACAGCCTTGTTTCGACTCGCAGGATGGCTTTTTGCTGACGAGGGCCGCAAATGGGTGGAGTTCAAAGATGAGTTCTCTGCTTTGGGAGTTATGTTTCGTTTACAACAATCGAACAATTTCATCTGCGAAGTGGCCAACACGGCTTCACGTGTGGAAGAGATAGTTGCGGAAATCGACAAAGTGCATGCCGCTGGGAAGATTAGCAAACATGACTCCGCACGACTTCGAGGGCGAATGGTTTTTGCAGAAGCTCAGCTCTTCGGAAGGGTTGGTCGCCGCTGCGTGAAGGCTTTGGCCGATTTTGCCTCAGGTTTCAGGAGCAGACTGAACAGCGATGACGTTTTCTTCTTCGAATTGTTCAAACAGGTTTTGTTACAGTCTCGCCCACGACTTGTGACACATACCTCAGACGACGTGATTTTCATCTTCACGGATGCTTGCTATGAACGTGATGCTAAACTGTGGCCATGCGGTTTGGGCGGCGTTTGCATTGATGCAGCTGGAAGCAGATCCTTCTTTTCAGTGGAAGTTGACGAGGCCACTCGGACTGCCCTTGGAGAATTACACAAAAAACAGATAATTTTCGAGTGTGAAACCATTGCCGCTCTTGTGGCGATGATCTTATGGACTGATAAAGTTCGGCATCGAAGGTGCATCCTTTTTGTGGACAACGAAGGATCGAAATATTGCATTCTGAAATGTAGCAGTGAAAACGAAATTGTTGACGCCCTGGTGAGATTCTTTGCTGAAATCGAGTGCGACTCCTGTGTGAGACTTTGGATTTCCAGGGTTGCTTCGCATTCAAACATTGCAGATGGTCCATCACGTGGTGTGCCCCCTCCGAACACTTCTCAGCCGTACAAGTGTGACTCAGCTGATGCCAGACTGGTCTTGAATTCTCTCGTTGAAAGACTGAAGAAATGGGGGATGGATTCAAGCTCGAGACGACCCAAGTGAAAACAAGATCTGCAGCTGAACAGCACGGCTTTCAGAATGCAATAAACGGCTGTTCTAACAAGAACAAAGTCTTATTGAATTGAAGAAATGAATGGAACATTTTCAAGTGCTGTGCATTCAATCATTTCCATGTTGCCTTTTTACTCAAGGGCGGGTGAGGTAGGGTTTGATGCCTGTTTTTGTCCTCGAAAACCCACCACCTGCCCCTAGCAACCTCCTTTTGGGTTTTAGGGCCAAGCCCTACAGCCTTGATGGATTCAAGCTCGAGACGACCCAAGTGAAAACAAGATCTGCAGCTGAACAGCACGGCTTTCAGAATGCAATAACTCTGCCTTTTCTCTCGTCCTCCGATGATTCTTCCTCGCTATGTTCTTGTTTCCAAGTCGACTGTCTCCTGCGTGTTGGTTGATAGCTGCTGGAGGTTGCGCCTCCTCTCGGTGTTGGCGATCTGGATCTCAAATTCACATCCCGTTGTCGGGTGGCAATTGTCCTTGGGTGTACCGTTGTCGGTGTTGTGTTGTGTCCTCTTTCTGTCCAATGTACTGAAAATAATTCCTTGCCTCGGACTTTCGCCGTTCTGCGGTGGCTCCTGACCGCTGACGATTGTTCTTCAGTGGTCGAAGTCTGATGGTGCATAACAAAGGATTATGCCAATCTTTATCAGTCAAGGTCAGTCCGAGATCTTGACGAATGAGGTGCTTAGGACGTTCTTGGTCGTTGATGATGTACTCGTCTTCCCGTACGATGGGTGACCCTTTTTCAGTGGCTGTCATCTTTTGACCCTTGAGTCTTCGTTCACTTTGGATGACGGTCTGCTTCCCATAGCAGAGGGAAACGAGCAGAATGCAGTCTGCATCATAGTCCTCGCCCTTCTGGGCCTTTAGCCACCCTTCGGCTGCTGTTGATGAAACGACCTGGTAGGTGACGTGGTTGTTGTAGTGCTGGGGCATGACATTCCAATATGTCACTGCTGCGTCCACCTTCTCCACAAGTGTGGAGGTCAAGTAATCACTATGAGATGAATTCTTCAAATTTCGTTGTGCAAAAAGGTTGCCATCTGCTGCAATGAAATCAACCTGATCTGGGATAGCCGTAATGACGGCTGTTGTCCGTTGTGTCAAAGTCAAGTCGTATCCTTTGGTGAAGGCAATTGATTTGCAATGGAGTCCCATAATCCGTACTTCGGATAGTCCCAATCCTTGAACTGAAAATTCATCGGCGTGATGTGGAAAAATATTCCTTGGATCAGTCACTGTATCATCTTCATTGTCTGGTTTAGGACTAAGAGCATCTTGTAGTACTGATTGGATGTGGATGCGGTTTCGGCTTGGCGACACTGTCCTTGTCTTCTGGCGTGTTTCCATCGTCAAATTTATCTCCAAAAACGCCACGAAATGTCGCTGTGTGCAAAGTCCAGCCGAAGCCCACTTGACTTCCAGAGAAATGCCGAATGAGCTCAACGACACAGCCACTGGCGGCATGTCCTCGGATGAAACAGGCGATTGGAACATATCCCAAGGCATGTGAGCATCGTGCGCCGGTGCATTGATTTGAATCGCAAAGGCATTCAAAATTCTCCTTGACGTATGATGCCTCATTGAGCAGAATGATGCGCGCCGGGTTGCGGAAGATAAGATTTCCCAGAGGGCGACGATTCATATCTTCACACAGCTCCTTGTCAAATTTTTGCTTACCCGCGAATGCGGGTTTTCTGTCGTGATTCCCAAGATTCAAAACTGCAAGATTGATTGTCATTGTATCTCTCTGTGTTTCAATACCCGTTTGCGGGTTTTGTTCTCTGAGGTCCATGTTCAAACGAAAGTTTCCCATGAGAGTTGATCCCATAAGGTCCAGGGCTTTTTCCTGTTCGTTGCTGGGCATGTATTCATCCTCATCCCAGCCTTCGAGCATAACCTCTGCTCGCATGATGGGCAGAGGAGTGTCGTTTTGTTGATGCAAGTGATCTTCAATAAGTGGAGCCCGCGGGCATAGATTGTCGGTAGCGTCAAGGTCACGAAGTCCTTCCTGCTCGAAATAATCGATCAATATTTGCAAGTCCAGATTTGCCGGTGACGGCATAGGTTGCTTCAAGTTCTTCTGCAAATTTTTCCCGGTGTTTGGCTGCTTCCTTGCTGTTCCAACCAAAAGGTTTGGCTACAAGGACATCTTTTTCAAGCTTCTTCAACTGTGCTTGACTCAGTGGTTTTGGATCTGCTGCAGAAGTCAGATATGAATCAAGATAAATGGGTGCGCATTCGCACTTCACATTTGGCATTGTATAACATTTTTCACACCAGGGGCAGCCGCACTCCCAGTTTTTTGAGATTTTTGTTTCCACTTTGATCCCACTTTGTTCTTATTCTTGTCGCGCTCTTGTTCCTGCTGCTTTTGTTTCCAACTTTGTCGTCATGCTTGTCCCAGAAGGCGAAAAGGACAGACCAGACGCGACGGCGGAATGAAGAGAAAGAGGGCAAGGAAAAACAAAAACAAACAAAATGAACAATTAAAAAAATGTTGTAAAACAAACAACGTGATGGAGAAACACATGGTGAAGAAGAAACAACAAGAAAGGGTAGCAGAGTTTACAAAACCCCTTGGGAAAAAACAAAAGCACCAGCGCCAGACAAAGACCACAGATATTCGATGTATAATCAACAATTACTTGGCATTGCCAATTATTGTGAGATGCATGGATTGTTTGAAAGGGCAAAATTCGCAAATTGGATTGATGTTGAAACAACGCTTTAGAAAACATCTGGGAAAGGTGGACAAAGACAAGAACTGGGCAAAGATTACCGAGGAAGGAAAAAATTGCACAGGACAGAATAATTTGCCGTTCCTGTTTTGCGCAATTTTTTGTGCAGCCCACATGAATTGAATTTCTATAGAATGCATCGGTACAGCTATTTGTTTTCTAAGTGCGTTTCGCTAATGGAAAAGTTTTTGGCGTGATCTGCTTGAGTTTGACCGTTTTTTGGCGTACACTGCATCACGGCATCATGGCAGATGGCTATGCTTGGAACTGACAAGATCATAACCCTGAGACAAACAATCAACGCCATTCATTTCAACGCATGACATCACACCTACCGTATTCAGCAAAAGAAACAATTCCACACGCCCAGATAGTCACAGGTTGTATCCAAACCTCACATATACACGTATCAACAACCATGTTTTGCAGTTTGTACACCCCAGCGTTTCAATTCCCAGGAAACATTTTTTTTTTTGAACCTCACTGTTCAAACACTAGATAGAGGGCATTACCGCAGCGTGGAGAAGAAATTAAGCAAACACCTCTTAAATTTGTGCATTATTTGATTTGTCTACGAAGGAATAGTGAAACTAGAATTGCCCATTTCCAGAAACTTTTGAATACTTCTTTTCACATGCAAGGCTACATTGGGTGGCAACAATGCACGGTCACCGCACGATGATGATGATGATGATGATGATGACAATGGTGATCGTGACGACATGAATGACCAAGGAGACGATAACGACTCAAACGGTGGCCATGATAATGAAAGGAAAAAACAATCAATTCACAACGTGTTTGGTTCAATTCCAGTTCAAAGACATTTGCAAACCTCAGAACTCTTTTCTGCAGAATCTCTTTCATATGTGTAAGCCGTCGCAACTCCGAACAGACCAGGGTGAAGACCTTTATTACATGTTCAATCATTCAGCTTGGCTTCAGGAAGATGGTAAGGTGGATGCCATTCAAGAAAAATTGCAAAAACTTACTGGAACACTTTCCAGGCATCATCGCCTGTGGATTTGTTTGCTTTTCATATCTTAGTGATGGTCCTGATTGCTAGTTGAAGTAGAAGGGAATGCCTCTGACAATTGCAGCGTGTTTGCTGAAGCCAATTTTCGATTTGCGGTAGTTTCTTCTGTGAACGCGCACAACTACATGCAGCATACCAACCAAATGAGCGCAGTTGGTAATGAAATCCACACAACAAAAACCAAGACGATGTAATTGTTCTGAGAGTTAGATGTGCTGCATTTCTTGGGCTGAGTTCCATGACACACTGGAGACAGCACACTGAACTGGGAAACAAACAAGCACAATGCTTCTCGCAGCTCCCGGCGCTCGCCATGGCAGAGAGGAGTAGGTCTCCACGACGTGAGCATCTATGGGTCAAAGTGAAAGGCGGTGCGAGAGCCATTGAGATCAACGCCGCGGGCATACGACATGTGGATGCTTTGCTCAAGGCAGTCAAGGAGGAGGTGAAGCCCGACTTGAATGCAATCAGTCTTCAGAATCTCCAGCTTTTTCAGAGCGAAGAGGCAAACGATGGTGGCTCCGAAGCACTTCGGTCAGACCTTCGAGTTGCTGAAATCGCAGGAGGTGAAGACACGAAAAACCTTTGTACGTTTCCTTCCCTGATGCTGAGGTGGCTACAGCTTCACAGGCGCCGGCTAAACAAATCTGGACATGTATTGTTTGTTTCATTGTGTTCAATCTGTTTGAATTTCAGCAGGCAAGAATGGTGAAGCAGCAGTTCCAGGAAGATTGAACAGATCCCTTCAATCCGCAAGTCATGATGGAAGCCTTTGCACTTTGCTTTCCATTTGTGTTTGTTCTTTGGTGGGTTGTGTGCTGCAGGTTTTTGGGTGTTTTAGGGTGTTCGTTCTTGTGTTGCGAGGACAAGATCACGGAGGACGTCATCGACCAGAAGATTAAGGGCAAGGAGTGGCGCTTGCCAGAGAACCCAGGTGTCAGTTCCCTTTTCAGCAGAGAGAAAGAATTGAAGCATGTTCAGAGTTACATCGCCAATCCGTTCGAGTTCGCCAACAAGGATGGTCTGTTCAACCTGCTGGGTACATCTGGAATGAAGGGCATCGGGAAGACCCAGTTGCTACTGAATTCTTTGCAGGTTGTGGAGAACCTATCGAACACCAAGGCTGTGTATTTCACCTTCAACGGACAGGGTAATCTGAAAGACAGGTTTCATGAATCGCATCGGCAAGGGCATTCTCATGACAGAGCATTTGGTCATGCAATCCTCACTGCATGCAACGTGCCCCAAGGCTTGGCGATGACATGCAATTTCGACGAATGCCTCGGCATACTTCGGAAGCTCGTGTCCGCGAGCAATGACGAGCGACTGGTCATTTTCATCGATGAGCTTGGTCTGCTCGATGCATATGAAAAAGAAACAGTGGTTGTGCCACTTCTTCAATCCTTGATGCGGTGCATGGACAAGTGGAAGGGCAAACTCGTTTTTGTTTTCTCGCATCTTTTTGAAGACATGTTGACACGCGGGGCAACGCAGCAGAGTGGTCGCAAGGTTGATGGAATATCTTTGGCGGCTTTGGCCGTTGACTTCTGGAAGACGAACCCTGCCTTCTGTGCATGGGCAACTGCAGCGCAGAGAGATGCTGGCATACATCAGTTGTTGCTGAGCTGTGCTGGTCATCCTCGTTGTCTCTTTGAAGGTTTGAAGGTGAAAGCAGTTCAGGACTTGTGCAATTGCAACGTTCCTCAGACCGCAATCACTTTGGAGCGAGCTCGGAGCCACATTATAAACGAGTGCAAGTTCGATGACAGGAAGTTCGACCTTCAGAAAAGCATGTTGATGCAATGGTTCAGTCCACTGGAGCAAGTGAACGAGACCCCTCTCGACCGCTCCGGCTTGCTGGTTCGTGTAAAGACAGGTCTTGGCGAGGAAACGGCAAGCTTGCTCCATCCTCTCGTTCTGAGCTGGTGGGCACAGGAGAATCAACAAAGTTCTAGCCTTGCAGAGCACCTTTGCCGTGCCTACGAGTTCGATGCTGAGCTTGCAGCGGGCTCAGAGAAGCGGATGGAAGGGCTCATGTTCCATTATGAGGCGGTGCTTCGCATTGCACTTGAGGGCAAACCCATTGAGTTGAGCAAGTTCTACGTCACCGACTATATTGGGGCGACATATCAGGACATGTTGCTAGTAGGAGCACTCCCAGCCGGTGGAGGCAGTCTGGTTAGGTTTGTGCAGGACTTTAGTGACATGGATTTGGTCATCGACTTGCTGAAAAAGGGCAAAATCGTAGTCTCGCAGAAGCAGTCCGAAGAAGGCGTGGAGTATCTGACGCCATGGCGGCTGAATGATGCAGAAGGCAAGCTCGTTGTTGCCTGTGTCCAGTGCATGTTCGTGAAAGACAAGGTCCAGTGGAGCAAGGTCAAGCAGCACATGCACTCTGCCGTGAAACCCTTGACGGACAAGAAGATAGACTTTTTCCCAGTGATTTACGCCACGACTGACCAAGACACCATTCAGGAAAGGATTTACAAAGATGGTGTCTACTTTAACGAGGTCGGCATTTTCAAATTCACGAGCAAGTTGGGCATCCTTCGGCTTCACACCGAGAAACTCGGCAAGAGCCTGCAGAAGGAAGTGCCCGTGCTCAACAGCTCCAGAAGCGAGGTTGCAGATTAGACAGGCATCTTCGCTATGAATTCGAATAAAAGTTTCACCAAAGGTCAGACACAGCACATGCGAAAAACAGCCCGGTTTCAGTGAATTTTTGGAGCAGTCGGGGCAGACCTTGAGAATACTCCCAGCGGAATTTGTTCAGCGGTCAGGGTAGAATTTGTAAGTATTCCGAGTGGAATTTGTTCAGTCAGGGTGGAATTAGTGTGAAGGTTTTGGGCCTTAGGTGGTTTTCGACCAGTCCTCATACTTTCGGCAACTCAAACCGCAAATACTGCCTATCATTACCTTCGACTTTGTAGTTTTGACCTGGTTTGTTTTCAGTCATCTCAACGGTATAAATGATGCAGCCCTGCCCAGCCCCCCCCCTCTGTTTTTATTTGTGAGTGAAAGCCATCGGGCATAAGCATGGGTACTGAGCACACTTTACATGCGCCATAAGGCTCAAGAGATAGAGAGGTAGTAGAGACCGGCACAGCACAGACTGGCTATTAGCCTAGTGGATAA